CTGGCTTGAGAATCAGCTGTACACACATACCGTGATTGTCACTGACTCACACAACATGCTGAGAAAGGTGAAAACAGTTATACTTCGTGCAGAGTGGCAAGCATCACTTCAGAGGTCCCGAGTAGTTATTATCCTGTGGATATTCTCTCCACGTCATGTCGGTGTGTTGAGAAATGAATAGGCACATAGACTGGCTGGTTGTGCACCACTTGATGGTGAATTGATATATGACAAGCTAGACGTTGTTAGGGCCCTCTGGGAGCCAGTGATCAGTGCGGAAGCTCAAATAGATCATTACAGTCTGAGGAGAATGGCGATACGAAGAGTTGCCAGTGAATCTGGCCGACGCTCAACACTCAAGAGAAGGACGAGACGAATATACAATCAGACAGTTGTTGGTGCCATCAGAATTGGAACTCTTCATTTGCTGCTGAAGATGGAGACAGAGCGCTTTTTGGGGATGTCCCGAGCGCTATGATGTCGCTTCTTAATTCTACATTAAAATCTTCCACTGAAAATAATTGTTTTGAAGGGATTTACACGATGCTAAACTACTCACCATCGTCATGTAGCAGGTCGTTCGCAGAACGTCGCTCTCATCACGGTTTGCCTGAAAGAAACTCGGTCTCTCGCCAGTTCTCCCCCTCAAGTACTTTCATACTCAAGGAGTCACTTATATCCTGTGCCCATCTTCGTGTTGGTCGGCCCCTGCCCCTCCTTCCTGGTACCACGCCTTCTGCTATTATTTTTTTCCAATCCGTTGTGGCGCTTGATATGACCAACATATTTAAGCTTCCGAGGCAGGATGCTGTTATTAGACAATCTTCCTCGATGTTCAGATCTTTCAAGATGTAAGTATTTCTCCTCTTCCTTTTCCAAGATATTCTCAGAATCGTTCTATAGCATTTCAGCTCAAAAGACCATATTCTCTTTTTTTAAGGACTGGGAGATAGTCCACGACTCACATCCGTATGTTACTACAGGAAAGATGCATGCTCTCAAAATTCAACATTTTATCTCCATGCTGGTGCTTAACCATAGACTTTTTAGGCAGTTCAATCTTTGCATTGTTATGGCCATCCTCCTTTTAATTTATGTCAAAAAGTCTCCATTGCTGTTTATTATAGAGCCTATATATTCAAAGATTGTGACATCAATTTCTTCTCCATTTATTGTTATTTTTAGGTAACAGCTAGTTTTATCTGTGAACATTATTTTTGTTTTCTTTATATTCAAGATTGATCTTCACTGTGCTTTTCGACTCTAAGCTACTACTGAATATAATGTCAACAGCATATTGTTAAATTCAAGGACCTCATATTGAATAGGTTGAAATAGTTATAGTCTGTAAACGATGTCGTTTGTAAAATAACTTGTAAAGCACAATATTCAGTCACAATATCAATAATCTTTAATAATACGATTAGTAACTCGTCAGTCAATCAATCAGATGATGCAATTCGTATGAAATTAACTGACACACTCAATGTATTCTATAAATGTCCTAATTTTCTTTAAATAAAATATCCTCCAACTTCTATAGCTTAAGTCAGCATGGAACAGGGGCATGGACGCCTTACCTGTATCAGGTTTTGCCTTGTTCATATAGCAGTATCTTTAAGATTGAACATACCCAAATCTCTCTCCACTTTCTGAAGCTTTAACTTTCTGAATCCAGCGACCAACTGTGCTCCTACAGACTGCACAACTTTTGTACATTCATTTATGAGTGTTCCTAAACTGCACTACTGCCGCCAATGCTAGTGCTCTGAAAACATGTTATTTCTACATTCTCGCTTGACGTAGAAGACAGGTAAGGGCGACTATCCCTGGTGTGATCATTACATTCTTCGATTTTTATGCTGTCCAGTGTGTCTTCTTATCTCTGCGTCCTTCTAAATATTTCATACTTTACGATAAAGGAGAAAGGGCAAAGGCTTTTGCTGACCAAGTGGACAGTGCAAGACCGACCAGAAACCTGAATGGGGTGTCATCATTAGTCAAACGCCGCTATCGGCTTCTGCAGGCGACATTTTTGATCGCTTATGTTATTTAGTGTCGGCTCTGTGGCTAAGTCGATGTGAACGCTTCCTAACGCCGGGATGCCGGGTTCGATCCCAGCTGCAGGCCATGCGCCTTACGTTGGTTTCGACAGTGGTATCAAGATAGCCGACCGTCCATCAAGCAATGGTAAACTACTGGAAGTAAATTTGCCTAGAAAAACCACACACCAGCCACGGGCTGTTGGGGTTGGTTCTGCAACGTCATGTAAAAGATACGCAACTAACCTATGTTATATAGTATAAGGTTATCAGTCTACGTCACTGCCAATTGATAATACCTTTCAATATGATGGTTTGAGTGAGTCACACGTTCTCCCGTATAAGCACCACTGCTCCATTTTGTGTGTGTTGGGGTTTGAGGGAAAAAAAAAGGGGGGGGGGGCGAACATACGAACGAACGAACAATCCTAATTTCAAAGGGTTAAAAATTGTGCATGCAGGACCGTCTGACATTTGGCCCTTTCTAAGCATTCATCTTTCAGAGTATCAATGCCTGTTATCAATAATACATGTTATCTTTATAATTAAAAAAAATATATATATATATACATTGTAGAAAAATGCATACACACATTTTGTATACACAATCATACATACACACACACACACACACACACACACACACACGCGTATATACACTCTTACATTCTCATTTATACACATACACACTCATGTGGTCATACGCAATACATACATACACGCAGTTATATACATATACGCACATATACATACATACATACAGATATACATACATGCATACACCCACATGCATACATACGTACACCCACACACAAACACATAATACACACACACATAGATACATACATATATACATACATAGACATACATGGGAGACAGCGGGAGGCAGAATAGAGCTACAGCCCTCAATAAACATGTCGTAGGAGCCCATCTACCTGACAGGCGAGGAGCCAACATCAGCATACAAGTAAGCCAGATTTGTACAACGGATGTGCTCGCAAGTTCTGGAGCATGACGAGAGTTCAGAAGTGGACGGTTAACGAGAACTTTCCACAGGAATTACAAGTGAAGAATATTAAGAAGAAGAGGAGATTATGCGTCGTGACACAGTTGTTGCTGCAGCCAGGCTCCATCGTCTCCTGAAAACCACAGGTGCAATCCTTAAGGATGTACAACTATTAATAAATCAGATAGTCTCAATAAAGAAAGCTGGCTGCAATGGATATTTGACAAGCTCTGTTTTTGCCCTGATTGTACGCTTTTTGAGACTGCGGTTCGTCCATTTCTTTATTTTACCCTCCCACTTGTATAGCTTCAACATTCCTTTCCTCTGTGGCTATTGTATGAGTGATTTTTCGTTTAGTACAGCCGATCCCCGTATGGGTTCCAGGGCCACATTGGGGGGGGGGGGGGGGGACAAGGATAGACCCACTGCTTCCACAACAGGCATGTCGTAGGATTCGACTAATTGGGGACATCCTTCGAAGTCGGAATTCATTTGCCTAAGAGGCAAGGAACCACAGGTCAGCACACAGATAAACTTCATCTGTGAAATGGATGTGCAAGCAATACTCAGGTACTGGAGCAAGACTAAAATCCGGAGGTGGACGAACACCCAGAACTTTGAGTCTAGGATTCAACCGGTGAACGCGAAAAAGAAGATGAAAAAGAAGAAGAAAAAAGAAAGAAGAAGACAGAAAGAAGAAGAAAGAAGAAGAAGAAGAAGAAGAAGAAGAAGAAGAAGAGAAGAAGAAGAAGAAGAAGAAGAAGAAGAAGAAGAAAGAAGAAGAAGAAGAGAAGAAAGACGAAGAAGAAGAAGACGAAGAAAGAAGAAGAAGAGAAGAAGCAGAAGAAGAAGAAGAAGAAGAAGAAGAAGAAGAAGAAGAAGAAGAAGAAGAAGAAGAAGACTCCTAAGAAGAAGAAGAAGAAGAAGAAGAAGAAGAAGAAGAAGAAGAAGAATAAGAAGAAGAAGAAGAAGAAGAAGAAGAAAGAAGAAGAAGAAGAATAAGAAGAAGAAGAATAAGAAGAAGAAAGAAGAAGAAGAAGAAGAAGAAGAAGAAGAAGAAGAAGAAGAAGAAGAAGAAGAAGAAGAAGAAGAAGAAGAAGAAGAAGAAGAAGAAGAAGAAGAAGAAGAAGAAGAAGAAGAAGAAAAAGAATAATAAGAACACGAAGTATGGCCAAAATAGTTCGCTGTTTCCATTGTGATTTTTATGTCACCTAATGCGTTCTTTTTCTACGTCCTGCTTCTACAGCTATGAGAGTCAACCAAACCACAATGTGTTTATTACAACACTGTCTTCGTAGCAGACAACAAACAACAGATAACATCATGTAAAAAAGAAAAACGACAGGAATTTATTTACTGACTGAAAAATTTAATTTTGCAACTGTTCATTTACCCCAAGCCATTTGTTAAATAAAAACTAAAGGTAAAAGTCGAGAGGATCGACTTTATTGCACAGCATTTTAGCACATATGGCTCAGTCTCTCTCTCTCTCTGTCTCTCTCTCTGTCTCTCTCTCTGTCTCTCTCTCTCTCTCTCTGTAGAATGGCTAGCCACCTGCCGAGAGCGTCGCACAGAGCACAAACTTCGTAGCTCTTGTGACGATCCCCAGGGATATACGTAAAAATTGCATCGTGAATTGATGACGCAACCGTGAAACGAACCGACGACCTTCAGAGCGATAGGCAAACGGCCTGACCACTTCGTGACGGAGCCCCCCCCCCACCCCCACCCCAACATGTATAGATAAGGATAAGATTCGAACCAACACGGTGAGACCTTAATGGATTAGCAGTCCATCACCATAACCATTCGGCCACCCACTAATGATACTGTCTTTGCATGTACGTTCACTAATCACTGTTGCACGGAGCAAATAACAACAATCAAAATCACACACAGAGAACGAAAAGAACATATTCAGTGAGTAAAACATTTATGTCAGTATTCTATAACTACCACATGCTGCATTTCTTTTCTGGGTTCATGTAAGAGCCACGTGGGCAGTTGTAGGCTTTGGCAAAGTCTTCTGAATTTTGTAATGGCCCAATCAACCTGAATATTAAAAAGAAAGAGAAAAAAAAAAGTTGATTTTCAGTAAGGTCTGACAAAACAACATGACGTGATCGACTTTCAGTCAGATGCAGTATCGGGCTCTCTGCCTCGAAGGGACCCAGCTCAAAAGACTAGAGGTCTTTCTCAGATGTCCTGTGTAGCCAGGGGATATGAGAATATAGCGTCTGGCAAAAGTTAAATTAAAAGGATTATTACCATTAGTAATTATTGATTAAAGAATCGACATCATAACACACTGGGCATACCCATAGATTCTCCGTCTCCTATAGATAATGCCTTAGGCGTAGATGCTAATTGTTCCTGGGTTATTCAACTACGTTTACACGGGGCCCATAATTTTAAAAATTTTAAAAATGAGGATGGTTACAGTCCAAAGGTCTGAGCCCTAGCTTTGGAAAGATTACTAACACAACACGACTGGCAATGATCAGCGGGCCACTTGCTAGACCTCCAAGGGCCAAATGTGGGCCGCAGACCGCCAGTTAAATAGCCCGGCTCTAGGATATTGATTATACACACGTCGTTCTGTATGGCCGCAGACAACAATGAGTAAAATACGACATTTTTCTGGCTGCTCACTAAGCGTGACAACCCCGCGAAAAGGTCAGGTGCTGTGACACGAAGAAGCATGAATAGGATGGGAAGTCACTCTCTTTTTGGGGCGAAAACGTAACAAGTACCGGTTATTTTAGGACCCATCCATACTAGACTAAAGTTTTCTTTAACCCACCAACACTGAACTACAGGTTACTTTAAGACCCACACACACACACACACACACACACACACACACACACACACACACACACACAGGGCTACAGGTTACTTGAATACCCACACACACAGGGTTACAGGTTACTTTAAGACCTACACACAGGACTACAGGTTACTTTAAGACCCACATACACACAAAGGACTACAGGTTACTTTAATACTCACACACACATACACACACACAGACAAACACAGGGCTACATGTTACTTTAGGACCCACACACACATGGCTACAGGTTTATTTAAGACCCACACACAGGACTACATGTTACTTTAAGACCCACAAACACAGGACTTCAGGTTACTTTAAGACCCCCCCCCCCCACACACACACACACACACAGGACTACAGGTTACTTTAAGACCCACACACACACACAGGACTACATGTTACTTTATGACCCACACACACAGGACTACATGTTACTTTATGACCCACACACACAGGACTTCAGGTTACGCAATGACACACACACACAAAGGACTACACGTTACGTTATGACCCACACACACACGCACACAGGAATACAGGTTACGTTATGACCCCCACGCACACACATGACTACAGGTTACGTTATGACCCCCACGCACACACATGACTACAGGTTACGTTATGACCTTCCCCTCTACACACACACACACACACAGAGGACTACAGGTTACGTTATGACCCACACACAAAGGACTACAGGTTACGTTATGACCCCCCTCCCACACACACACACACACACACGGGACTATAGATTACGTTATGGAATGGGAGTTCGTTAAGCCTGCAATTGTAAAACTGCATGGTTGGTGCTGTCGCCAAGGACTATGCAACACTCTCCCTATTTTCCCTGAAAAAGCACTCATAACCTTCCTGAGAATTCGAACTCGGGTCTCTTGCATAAAAGCCCAGCCTTCTTAACCATTCGGCCAACCATTCTTCTTCCTGTCTATAAAAAAAAATTAATTGTGAGTTACTTACCTGAATTTTCCCGGAGGATGATTGTCATATAGCACAACATATTTGACAAATAACGGTGCTTCTTTGGCACACCATACCTAGAAACAAACATATAGCAACTGTTCGCTGTCTGTTCAGGTATTATTATTTCGAAAAATTTAAAATCGAACGAAAAGTAGATCAGCGAGCTTCACAATATAACAAACACAAACGAAACGTGAACGTTGCGCTATATAGCCTTTATAAGAACATACGTAAATTAAACAAAACCACACGAATACACACAATCAATTAACTGACTTATCCTGAACCAGCCACGTTGATGTCTTGTCAGTGGGGCGGAGAATAAATAGCCGGGAAATGCCAGGGCCCGTAACTGGAGAATTTTAGATGAAACTATGTCGATAGTTCAGTTTCCTAGGTGTTAACGTGCCCAAGGTGAAAATAAAACGATAATATTAGTTGGACAGGCGCACCGATGCAAAGAAAACGATGGATTCCTTATTCTTCTGCCTTTCTGACCCCCAATGGAGCATTTTTCCATAACCAACTCACGCCAGGTCGTTCTATCCTTCGCTATTGCATGCAGCGCTGCCCATGTCCTACCCACTTTTTTTTTCAACTTCACTCTCTAGCTTCCTTCTCCGTGTGTTGTTTTTTCTGTGCCCCTGTAGGTTCCAGTGCACAAACATTCTAGTTATGCTATTCTTAGTTTTCTTCAACCTCTTGGTCCACTTAAACCTGTTTAGTTATCTCAAGAGATCTACATTAGTGAATATATTATATCATGTCATTCAATTCCCTCTATTTTGCGCAGGCACCAGTTAATAAATGTTTGTAGTTTATTTGGTAACTGCCTTAGTTGTTCTCCCAGTTTCCGCACCATTCAAAAGTACTGAATGGACATTAAAATTTAAAATTTTAGGTCAAGTATTTCTTTTAAAATCCTTTGACCGCCATAAATTCCTTTGTGCAATGAAAGCGTCTCTTGTTTTTTTAATTCTTATTTTAATATCTCCATCAGTTTCCCCATCTTTATCTACATTACTGCCCAAATAGGTGTACGACTCCACGTCTTGGAGTGAGATATAAAGAGAAACTACATTACTATTTGCTTGATTTATTCTCATTATGTTTGTTTTTCCCTTATGAATTTTCAAAACTAGCTGTTGTAATCTCGCATTAAGTATATTTAATTTATGCATCTAATTCCATTAGTGATACAGAAGAGAAACTTTAGTGAAGTCCAGATCAGCAAGCTGTTTTGTAGGGCCCACTAAATTCCCATTCCTTGTGTTAGTAGTTACTGTCTTCATAATCCAGTCTGTTGCCAGAGTTTCAGCTTCTCTTCTAAACATGTGAGCAAACGACTCTGTGGGCCTAAGATGTAAGCACTTTTTTCCTCTTCTTTTCTATACTGCTGGAATGCCTCGTGGCGTCAGGGGAGAAAGAGATCTCTAGAACGGGCCTCTCTGTTATCTTCGTATAAAGTACTTTTCAATATCTCTGATATTTTTGTGGTCCATGTTCTACATGGTTGACCTCTGGCTCTGTTACAGTTTTATCTGTATAACATTGCTCTCTGTGGTGTCCTGTCTGCTGCCAATCTTGTGACATGGCCAAACAATTTGATTTGTTCTCTACCTATAAATTTCATATAGCAGCTTTCCTAAGTCGACGCTTTCCTAAGTCGACCTTTTCCTTGTTACCCCTAGCATATTACGTAAACATTTCATTTCTGTCCTGACTATTTTCTTCTGTCTTCTGAAGACAGTGTTCATGTTTGGCATTGATAGCATAGCGATGGTGATAATTTTTAGTACACTCTATTAATTACAATGATAATTATAATTATCATGTACTAATTTGCAAATGAATTTAATAATGTATCTGAGATAACATGTGATATGTCAACAGATACAATGATTCCTAGGTAGACGTTCGCTTTGGTATACGTTCAACTTGGTATGCGTCCTGTCTAGAGGCCTTTGTTTGATTTACGACCTTTTGAAAACTACCCGCTTGCTAGAGCTTGCATGGATAAAAAAATAATCATGAAACCGCGCGCTGTCTCTGTGAACCTGTCGGATGTGCACAGGTGTACCACAAAGTCAAACTCACCTGAGCTAAGGAGAGAAAGAACAGCTGGTCCTGGTTTAGGTCGAGTCCTGGAAGAGTGGGTTGTCTTCCTTTCCTTTTCTCCTCCTCTTTGTAGGCACTGTAATATTAGCCATAACAGTAAAGTGCCAACACTCTTGAGGTATTGAGGTTTTTCTAAACAACAGATCAACATCACGGCACACAGGTAGTAACCCTTAAGCTCCCCGTTCTTCTTCTAACTCAAGTCTGAGTCCGTAGAAGCTCAGCACAGTTCAAAGGTTCTGTAGCAACGGCGATGATCCTGAAATACTTTGGGTAGATTTTTAACTCAAAATTTTGCCCGAGCAACGCCGTTAGGCTACTCTTTTCGATTTCTAACTGCCAAGGGATTTCTTTTACATGCGCTACAATGCACAACGGGCATCCTATCTCACTACCCAGAGACAGAGGGAATTACTAGAAGTCCAAGTCCAAGTAAAAAAAATTCCAAACCTTACCGGGGATTGAACCCGGCACCTCTAGCATTCGAGGCGGACACCATACCTAGAGACCACGCAACCCCGGCCCCCCCCCCCCCCCCCATTTCCCAGTGCCAATACTCTTAGATTAGTTAGCTGGCTTTAGATAGCAGCTTATCAAGCTTCAGCTTACGGCTTTGCGATTACAAATAATTCCATATTTTTTCGACAAATTCGATCTGTCTTTTATTATACTTAAAATACCCTGTCATTATAAATAATTTGTTATTTATATTTATTGAGTTGTAACTTAAAAAATGTTTAATATTGAATTAAGTGTCGACTTCACAACACTATGGACACTCCCATAAGCGATCCCTCCCTCATTTTCAGCAGCAAACAGAGTTCCAATTCCGATGGCACCAGTAACTGTCTTATTGTATATTCGTCTCGCCGTTCCATTAAGTGTTGAGCGTCAGCCAGATCCAGTGGTAACAACTCGCAGCGCCATTCTCCTCAGACCGTAAGAATCTGTTTGCTCTTTCGCACCGTTCACTCGTGAAATATTCCAGCTCTGCTGCCAAAGCAGTTTGTCCCTAAAGGACAAAAATGCACTCACCAAGCAGAAATCGAAAGAGATACCGTTCATGATCGCAAAAAGTGAATCAGATCTGTAAAACGGATGCACACGCAATACTTAGGTTCTGGAGCAGGACTGTAGTTTAGAAGTGGACGAACAGCCAGAACTTTCAGCCAGAGTGTACAACTGATGAACGCGAAGAAGAAGATGAAGGTTAAGAAGAAGAAGAAGAAGAAGAAGAAAAAGAAGAAGAAGAAGAAGAAGAAGAAGAAGAAGAAGAAGAAGAAGAAGAAGAAGAAGAAGAAGAAGAAGAAGAAGAAGAAGAAGAAGAAGAAGAAGAAGAAGAAGAAGAAGAAGAAGAAGAAGAAGAAGAAGAAGAAGAAGAAGAAGAAGAAGATGAAAAAGAAAAAGAAGAAGAAGAAGAAGAAGAAGAAGAAGAAGAAGAAGAAGAAGAAGAAGAAGAAGAAGAAGAAGAAGAAGAAGAAGAAGAAGAAGAAGAAGAAGAAGAAGAAGAAGAAGAAGAAGAAGAAGAAGAAGAAGAAGAAGAAGAAGAAGAAGAAGAAGAAGAAGAAGAAGGTGTTGGCAAAAGAGAAAAACAGTTGGTGTTCTTTATATATTTTTTTCTAGGTTATGAGGCTATTTTGGGAAATAGACAGGCAGACCAGCTGGTTCTGTATCACTTTGGTGGTAAATTGATGCATGGTGAGCTACTTGCCATCAAAGCCCTTTGCAAAGTAGGCACCCATAGACCATCACGGTCTGAAGAGAATGATGCTGCGGGGACTGATCAGAAAACCTGACTGACACAGCTTTCAGAGAAAAATCAAGACGGACATACAATCGGACTTCTGTTAGTATCATCAGAATTAAAAGCAGGCTGTTGAAAATTAGGACTAAGCACATGTGGAAAAACTCCTACTGATAATATGTCGGTTGTTAACTCAATTCAGTTCAACGCAGAGGAAATAATGATAACTGGATCTAAGTGACTTACGCGATGACTCGGACTTAAGTCAGGTAAATCAGGACAGGACAACGTCGACTAGCAGAAAAGGGTCCAAAGGTGCATTGGGCAAAAAGGCGCTTCTAGTGTCCTGCCTTGCTGGAATCAGTCGACGTAACCTGCTGGTGATCGCACCTTTGTCGGTTGAACCATGACTGCCTACTTCCGCACAATAGAGGAAACAGCCGAGCCACGGCATATTCAGTCGCCACGCGAGGAAGTAAGTCAGCAAATTTTTACCGCACCAGAACATAATACAGAGCGATAAACACCCAGTGACACAAAGTGCAACCGTGCGGATAAGGATCATCCGTGGCGAGGTCCCAGAAACCGTGTTCAACCGTCAGGCTATATTACGGCCCTCGACAAAAGCCAGGGCTTGGCTTCACAATAACATGGGGACAACTAAATAGTTGATAATCATGCAAGGAAGAAAAAGAAAAATACAATGAGGCAGTGAATGCATGAGCAATGTGAAGATAATACATATATAATAAGGAGACAACGAATAGAAGGAACAAATATAATTGAGAGTGTACCTATAACTCATCTTGAGCCCAACTGCATCGGCCAGTGTTTCTCCAACTGTTAGAGTTCCATTGATCTGTAAAAGATTAAAAGAAAAAACGCATATACACGCCCTTAAAACATCATCGTCATCATCGACATTATCAAAAGTATAATCAGGATAGCGGTACTGGTCAACGTCGTCGTCGTCAGCTTCATTATCATCACCATCATCGTCATCATCAACATTATTAAAAGCATCATGATGATATCGGTATTGGTCAACGTCTTCGTCGTCAGCTTCATTATCATCATCATCATCATCGTCATCATCAACATTATTAAAAGCATTACGATGATAGCGGTATTGGTCAACGTCTTCGTCGTCAGCTTCATTATCAGCATCATCATCATCGACATCATTAAAAGCATCCCCATAATAGCGGTACTGGTCAACGCCGTCGTCGTCAGCTTCATTATTATCATCATCATCATCTTCATCATCATCGTCATGCTTATCATCATTTTGCATCACCGTGCAAATTGCGGGAGGCAACTGCCCCCCCCCCCCTAATCCTCCACTGCCCCCAGAAATGCATGTAATAAAAGTCAACTAATTAAGGGTGCTTGCTTCGAAGTCGACATTATCAAAAGTATAATCAGGATAGCGGTACTGGTCAACGTCGTCGTCGTCAGCTTCATTATCATCACCATCATCGTCATCATCAACATTATTAAAAGCATCATGATGATATCGGTATTGGTCAACGTCTTCGTCGTCAGCTTCATTATCATCATCATCATCATCGTCATCATCAACATTATTAAAAGCATTACGATGATAGCGGTATTGGTCAACGTCTTCGTCGTCAGCTTCATTATCAGCATCATCATCATCATCGACATCATTAAAAGCATCCCCATAATAGCGGTACTGGTCAACGCCGTCGTCGTCAGCTTCATTATTATCATCATCATCATCTTCATCATCATCGTCATGCTTATCATCATTTTGCATCACCGTGCAAATTGCGGGAGGCAACTGCCCCCCCCCCCCATCCTCCACTGCCCCCAGAAATGCATGTAATAAAAGTCAACTAATTAAGGGTGCTTGCTTCGAAGTCGGAGTGCCTCTGCCTTAATTTCAGTAATGAAATAAAATACTACTTTCGGTCATGTTAAGTTAATAACACAGAATACAGACTATAAACTCTCTAATTAATTTCTCATGTGAACTTTACTATTTACAATCATTTTAATTTTTTTTTAAAAAGTAGGAATTAGACACCATTTACAGTAATGTTATTGTCAGTAGTGAAATGAATCATTGTTTTCTGCCATATTAGTTTCAAATATAACAATAAACACTATTTACTGTCTTGTTAATTTCAGTAATGAATAAAAGCCACTATTCACTGCCATTGTAATTTCATTAATGAAATAAAACACTATTTGCAGTCATATATATTTCAGTAATAATAATAATAATATTAACAAACGCTATTTACTATCATGGTAATTTCAATAATGAAACAAACCTTCAGACTCTTGCCATGTTAAATTCTATAATTAAATTACAGTTATGGCAGTGGTTCTCAACCTTCCATATGCCGCTGCCCTGTAATACAGTTCCTGATGTTGTGGTGACCCCAAAACTATAAAATTAGTTTCCTTGCTGCTTCATAACTTCGGTGAATATGTGTTTTCCAATAGTCTTAAGCGACCCCCGTGAAATGATTAAGCCCCAAAGGGGTCGCGGCCCACAGGTTGAGAACCGCTGAGTTCTGGTAATGTTAACAATGAAATAAAACACTGTTTACCGTCATGTTAACTTCTTCAAGGTAGAACCCCGAGTACTGATCGATAAAGCACTGCGTCTTGTTAAGGTACTCGGCTTTGTCATCGTCGTCCCACCAGTTTCTAGGATTGCCGTCTGCATCTAGCAAGCTTCCTAAATGTCAGAGAAGTCCAAGGTGAATGTGATGTTACAGACTTTGAAAAATGGATTCGAAGTTAGGTTGAATTAACGGCTAATTTCAAATGACAAACCACCACTTGGCGGTGAATTGATGTATGATAAGTTAGACATTGCAAGGGTTCTTTGGGAGAGAGTAAACAATGCGGAGGCTCAGATAGATCATTACGTTCAAAGGAGAATGGCGCTGGAGTTACCAGGGGATTTGGCCGACGCTCAACACTCACGGAAAGGAGGAGACGGATATACAGTCAGACGGTTGTTGGTACTATCGGAATTGGAACTCTTCCCTTGCTGCTGAAGATGGGGACTGAGCACTTATGGGAGTGTCCCGAGTGCTGTGATGTCGATTTTTAATTCAGCATTTAACCTTTGACATTCAAATGACAAATGTGATATTAGAAAAAGCTTAGAGTAATATACATGCGTATATGCGATATTATATTTAGGTTTGAGTGATACAATGTGTGTACAGTATATAGGAAATTAGATTAGGTTAAAAGCAGCGGTTCTCAGCCTGTGGGTAGCGACCTTTTTGTGGGTAAAATGACACTTTCATAAGGGTCTCCAAAGACCATCGGAAAACACATATTCACTGAAGTTATGAAAAGTAGTAACGAAAATACATGTATGGTTGGAGTTAGCCACAGCACAAGGAACTGTTTTAAATGGTCACCGCATTAGGAAGTTTGAGAACCACTGGTTTGTATCTGCAAATGTCAATACTCTTCCAACCCCTGGTGCCTCAAGTTCTGCAATTGTGCTTGTACATGCATTGAAGGACCTAGTGAAACTGCAGAAACCTGGAGGTAGTTCTGGTCGGCTATAGTTCTGAGGTCCATGCTTCCAGGCTGGGGGCAAACATGCGTGAATGCAGGTCAGCTGCTCTCCAGTTCACAAGCATGGAACAGGGGCCCCTCTCCATGAGCGCAGATATCAACATATCATATCTGACTCTATTGCAGGCATCCCCAATATCGTGCTGGCCTTACCATCTCTTGTCGATTCTGGAACCCCTCATAAAAGTCAAAGAAAAATGTGGTTGCATTTGAACAGGTATCTTTCCTTGGCCAGTAACTGCCCAAACCTCTTTGGGTATGAGCTCTTTCCTTTCGAAAACCGTTTGCAGTTTCATAGCAATAATCCTCTCCAGGATCTTGCCGAAAGTATTTTTATTCAGTTATAAATCTGAAACCTCTAAGTCTAGAATTGTCTTGTTTTGGAAGTAGGATTAAATAGCAGTGCACCTAATAATGGGATAACGTCGCTGTTTTGAGACTGGTTAAAGTAAAATGGCATCTCCATATAGTCTTCACCATTCACATGGATAAACCTGACTCCATCTGGCCCATTAGCAGTTATTTTTTTTTTTTTTGAAAAGGGGGGGGGGGGGGGGCTTCTTTTCACAATACATACTTTATATCCTCCGCCGTAATGATATCATTATAATCATTTTCCTTTACTGTATTGGATGACTTTTTCTAGCTAGGAACCCAATCATTATGATCAGTTTGTGCTTCAGATCTGTACAAACATGCTTCCCTTTTATCTATGTCTGTTGTCACCGCTATGTGTATACCAGTGCTATTCCAAAACCAACACGTGACTAAAAATAAACCGTTAACCATAGTGACACCATTTATTTGCTTGCATCATCCAGTAACCTCTTAGCTCGCCAGAGTTCAACCTACAGTCATATTTGTTTAGTGGTTCATGATCTGCTGACGAACAAAAATAAACACTTATATTGCCTGTGAGGTACTGGTTTAATAAATTCAGAGACTGGCGTAAAGATGTGCATGATGAGGGCGGACAAGGACAACTTTTACGTCTGACAGATGAGATTCAAAATTTCTTTCAATTCTTGGTAGAAAAGCTCCGTTTCACAATGTCAGATCTTTCTAAAGATTTTCCCTAAATTTCTAGGATTAGTCTATTTCGAACTGTCACAAAGAGGCTAGATTACCTGGGTACTAAAGCAACTGTTTAATGTTCACAAAGCTCAGTGAATGGGCTCAGTTTTGACGTTCCTAATGGGAATATGGGGATTGCATTTTTTGACAGAAAAGTGAATGGGTCCCAGACATGGGCTCACTTCGTAAATGCGGAGTCGAAGTAACTGTCGAAACAATGGAAACGTACTCACACTCCAAACAAACCACACGCCAAAATTAAAAATAAATAAATGCTGCAAATAATTACACATCGAAACATTAAGGCTACAGTGTTCTAGAACAAAAAGGAATCCTCCCCCTCCCCCTCTCCTTTCACACCCTCCCTATGAACAACACTTGTGATAAACTAACCTCCCTTGGAAAATTCAAAGCAAACAAGTAGCTGACCTTTGTTGTAATTCTGGACGAAGATCTGCAATTGTAAAACGACGTTTTCTCACTACGACTTGTTCGACCTTTCGAATGACCTCATCTGTCACACACGAATGTCGTCCTTGTCCACCCTCAGGCAAATCTGTATGCTTATCTCCGAATTTCCTGCATCAATCTCTCACAGAACAGTAACTTTTAACGTTACCGCCGTACACACGACACAATCAACGATGAATCTCGGCGGCATTTTTACCTTCTGCATGAAGAAAACGAATCACACTACGAATTTCACAGCCGGCGGGAAAGGCAGCAACAGTGTTCACTTATATTATTTCGCGATTCATGAACCACTAAACAAATATGAATGTAGGTTGATGTGCACAGAGCTAAAAGGCTACTGAAGGATGTAAGCAATGAACAGTGTCGATATTAAAAACGGTTTATTTTTTCACCCGCCAATCGGAGGTTGATTTAAAAAAAAAAAAAACTTTTTCGTTCAACTCTATGCTGCCAGTCTGGGTGGCTCACATGAGCGCCCCCTCCCCAATCCCATAAAAAAGGATCATTAGTAAACATGCATATCTGATTAAAAGCTGCAGGCGTGACCCGAGTCAGAAGAGATATAAAATCAGGAGTGTAGTCATAAGAGACCAAGTCAGCACAGAACAAATTATAAACTTCATAAGGAACAGGAAATATATAGGTTTTTCCTCTTAGAGAGATTGCCTTTTGGTACAGTAGCTCACAAGACATGCTAAAATTGAAGGGCGTGAAGCATGGGGAAGACCAAGAACAAAATGGAAAGATAACAACACCGAAAGTTAACAACACCACGATGTGTCTAAGGTCGACGCAGCAAGAAACTTATATAAAACCCGATACGAAAAGCCTCATATCAAACTCTGAAGCAGCAAACGTGAAGATTTCTTGCAACATTACATACCGTCCCAATGTGGGACGCAATTTTTCGTTATTTTAAGGCCTCACCCGGCTTCATTCGGGGGCCCTAATATAACCTAACGGTCCCCCGTGTGGGTTCCGGGGACCCATTGTGGGGAAAACAAGAATAGACCCACTGCCTCCCCAAAAGCATGTCGTAAGAGTCGACTAATTGGGAAGCTTCCTTTGAAGTCGGAGTGCATCTGCCGGAGAGGCAAGGAACCAACAGTCTGTATTCAAGAGAATGAGATCTGTAAAACTGATGCACACGCAACACTCAGGTTCTGGAGCAGGACTGCAGTTCAGTAGTGGACGAGCAACCAGAACCTTCCGCCAGAGTTTACAGCTTGTGAACGTGAAGAAGAAAAAGAACCTAACGGTAATGGGATTTGTACCAAGGTGATCGTCATCCAAATGGTGGTGCTTTGTGTCATTAGGTGTTGGCCGCCCGTTTTTGGTCCCGGAGGCGTTAAACGACATACAGACATGAAGATAGAAAACAAGATAGAGAACGATACAAGACTTACCGCTTTTGTCAAATGCGTGTACGATCTCATGTCCAATTATTGAACCGATGGCGGCATAGTTGAAATAACTGTACGAAAAATCATTTTTTTCCAGTAATAATGACATAATGCAATTATAGTGATGATTTTTTCCCCATTAATGTTAATGAAAGAGATTGTCCACGCTAATGAGAGTATCGGGGTAGACATATGAGGCTAGTGAAGATTGTTGATACAATAATACTAGACTGATGCCGGGGCTAACATCGCCTCGCCCGTCTTTAAGTCCCAGACAATTTCCTGGAACAAATATTATGTTGGACTGATCTCGGAGCCATGGTCAGTTATAAACTATCAGTCTCGATGTGGATTCGAACTCAGGATCATAAGGCCTGCACGTGAGTTGTAGTGGAGTGATGTGGTCGCGGAAGCCAAATAGCATGAATGGGCCGAAGATACGAGAGTTTACTAGGCAGAGAGCCGCCTTAGATCCAATGTTTCGTTAGTAATCTTCTTCTCTTCCTCTATTATTCACATCGAGAATATTGGTGAATATTTATAATCTTCTGTGTGCTATTTTAACGCTACATCCGCTGATCTTCATATCCTTGAGGCTGTTCTTGAGGCTTATGTTCGATCTCTTGCCCAAACTTTCCCGTGCTATTTGTTCAGTGTATTACTTTAGCCTGGCTCTGTGTGGCAGTTGAAACCAGGACATTCTCATCAGATGACCGAATCCTCTCATCTGTTGCTCTTCACTGAACAGTATTATTGGTTTCAGTCCAAGTCTTTTTCTAGTCTTTTAAAAATTGTTTCCTTCATTGTTATCCCGATATTTAACATAGCCCTGATATAGGACCGGCGTTAGCGCAGTCGATAAGAAGCTCGCTTTCAAATCCAGCTGCGACTCGCTGCAGCCCACGGTCGGTGTTCGAAACCGGGCGGCTCCCAGGGTTCACCCAGCCTCTAGGAAATGGGTACCAAAGTGATACTCTGGGGTAAATGGAGGAGCGTCGCTGTAGCTACAGAGTTACCTGCGAACGGCGACACAGGCGAACAATTCTTATCAGCTGTCCGTACTGGTGGCAGAGCACTTATGGTTTATAACCATGTGCAATGACGTTTGTTCACATCTCCCGACTTTACCTTTACCTTTACAATTTTGTTTTTGTTATTTTAAAACCCCACCCTGGCTGTAGTAGGGGTTCCTAATATAATCTAACGGTTGAATGGGGTTTCTGAGACTTGTGTCCGGCTGATATCCGAATGGTGACACTTTGTGTCACATAGTGTTTGTCGCTGGTTGTCGGACAAGTGCAGTCCGATGCCTGGTGTCGTGACCCAGTTTGGCCCACCCCTCGTGATTGTATTAGATAGATGATAGGGCCGACACAGTTGTTAAAGAGGGACCTCGAGTACTGATGCAGGTTAGTTGCCTATCCTTTACAGGACGTTGTAGAACCAACCCCAACAGCCCCTGGCTGTTGTATGGTTTTTCTAGGTAAATTTACGTCCAGTAGTTTACCATTGCTTTCCGGACGGTCGAAACCAACACAAGGCTCATGGCCCGCAGCTGGGATCGAACCTGGCATCCCGGCATTACAAAGCGTTCGCATCAACTTAGCCACAGAGCCGACAACTACTCATTCCCATTACAAGAGAACACTATGATCAGAACCTTTACGGACTTTTCCGATGAGGAGTGACGCTGATCGGTGGATAAACTAACAAATAAATTAGTTACATTAAACAGTCACTTGCGTTTCCTTTACAGGACGTTTCAGAGGCAACACCAGCATTTATTTGGCGGTTTGTAGTTTTCACTACTTAATTTTCCTTTCGTCAGTTTTGTATTGCAGCTAAGAGATCGGCTCTTGATATCATTGTCGAAACCAACACAAGGCGGTCTGTTGCCAAATCGTCTGCCGCTGGAATCATCAAACTAGTGTGCTAGTGGTGAGATCCTTATAATTTTCACTGTGCGATTCTCTCAAACTGAAAACCACGAAATCGAACTTTCTCTAGGCTACCCTGGGAATCGAATTCTTGTACATTTCGGAACGATTTCACCAGCTTTCAAGCCCTACAGCCACACATAGCAGGACAACAATAGCTGTAACTATCTTCACTCAAACATAACAACTTACTCTGGAAAGATTAACGAAAACAGTGGCGGCTGAAGAATACCAGCATACACCGCTGGAAACAAGAAGAAACAAAAGTACGCTTAATGGCCAATAATAATAATGATGCACAATCTGCACACAAAGAAGGTTAATTGCAATGATATCTGTAACCATCGTCTTAGGGAATATTACGTTTCAAGGCCATTATCTTCTACGGTGCGACTTTCGTGCTACTGACCGAAAGCTCAAAAGAAGAAAAGAGAGGAAAGCAGAAGAATAAACAGAAGAAGGAGGAGAATAAGCTAAGAAAAAACAAGAAGAAGAGGAGAAATAGGAAATAATAATATTATTAATAATAATTATAACAAGAAGAATAAGCATAAAAAACAGCAGCAAAAGAAGCAGAAGAAGAAGGAAAAAGAAGAAGAAGAAGAAGAAGCTGGAAAATTAGGATGAAAAGAGTAGAAGAAGATAAGAGAGCCGGAAAAGGGAGAGGAGGAGGAGGAAAAGAAGAAGAAGGAGAAGAAGAAGAAAAGGGTAGGAGGACAGGAGGATGGGGCCCAGAATAAAAAAAACGATGACGAGGAATAAGGAAGGGTGGTTTTATGTTTACCAGGAACTTTAAAACAAGAGACGTGTAAGTGAACAGAAATAACGTCAGGAAAGGATCATCCTGAGGAAATGGTAATTCTCGTCGCCTCTCCTCCTGAAGGTCATGTGTTTGCTTTGTGTTGTCGTCGTCTGATTTGTGAAAGCAGGTATTCGAGAGACCCTAAAGGATCATTGATAAAGCTACATGGTATCATAGAGGGTCAGAAACTGTCAGTAACAGACATCGGCTAGGTCCATGAGGAGTTTTATCAGTTATTGAGGTCATTGAGGTGTTACGGGATATTGTGTTATGACATTTATTTATTTTAATCGAGGGGAAATAATTGAAAAATTTAGGCAAAGAGCATGTGTCGTGTCTGGTTACGGCTATCATTGGGGACTTTAAAATCAAATCATGACGACTTTAAGCTAAAGTGTAACCCATCATACAATGTACTGAACACTTTTGAAATCTGGAATAGTTAACACTACTTCACTAATCTTTACCCCAGTGAAGATTTGTAAAATTCTACATTAGGCTTAAGACGTTTTTGTCCCACCAGTTCCTTTAGTAAGCTGCTTATCTTGGAAATGCTGCACACGACCACCTTCAAGGGTCACAGAACAGAACTAGATCCACGAGGTCCAGAATGCTTTTACCCCTAGAGTCCCGCTAATTCTTGACCCGGTGACAGAGATTTTCCATTGTTGGACTATTCGGCTTACAGTATGAGTCTTACTTCCGCCTAGTTCAACAATTTCCGGCTATCGCGCCTGACCGGGCGACGTTATATTTCCGTTTTAAACCCCCCCCCCCCCCCCCCTTTTCCCCAATCCTGAAAACTCGTTCTCGTTAAGTCAGGTACTATAGCTGTCATATATTTTTTAATGACTAAAAGCCATCTTTACAGATTTTATGTTTTCACTTTAAGTCACTAACTACTAAGCTGCCATTTTACCAACTGTTTGTTTCGGTGTCCAGGTCCATCTTCTGCATGGCAGCCGTCCTGAAGACTTTTCTGAGCAGATACTTTCACCATTCTTCTCAACTCTCTAACTGCCCGGCTCCCAACGTTTTCTTTCAATAATGAATTTTTTTTTTTATATCTTCGAAATCGATATCTTGATAAATTGTACGCGGCAAGTCAGAAATCCCTTTCTGTATCATAAAGAATTTCTTTAAATTTTATAAAATAACAAGCTCTTTCTATCCGTTTCACCAGTTAACCGCCCCTTTTCTGTTCGACCAACTGTCTCCCCAGGTCGTCTGTCTGATTTCACCCATAAGTGACTGCGTTTCTTCATGCAAATTAAAAGGGTCAGTTTCAAAAGTGAGTCTGCCCGTCTAAACAACTAACCATGCAATTAACTTTTCTGTCCGACCAAATGTTTGCCCCGGTCGTCTGCCTAGTTGTAGCATAAGTGACTTGGGTTTATGGTACGTTTACAAGTCTTTCAAACTTTTAAACTTGGCAGTGAAAGTAACGTGAATGGCTATCTCTGGTAGAGCTTTATAATTTAATAAATGGCTTATCCAACAGACAGTTATTCAACATCTAACAACATATCAGTTTATTATGTGAACTGAAAGCAACTCGTAAACTTTCACCTTTTTAAAACAAATCGACGATTTTCAAAGATCAGTTTGCCCACCAAATCCTTTTATCGTCTCTTTTTCTTGCTATCCATATGCGAATCATTGTCAGATCTTCACTAATCTAATTTTTTTTTTTAATCCAAGAGACATCGCTTTAATATTTACAGATAGAGCAACATGTCAACTTTTACACTAGCAGACACCTTTTCAAAGCGGTCCCTAGCAAATACTATCAGAGCTTTGAGTAATTTATAAAAAATTCACATTTTTGTTTTCAACTTTTGGACAACGTTTTTTTTTTTTTTTT